GGCTGACTGACCCGGGTTTGGATTGACCCGGGTCAGAAAATCCCCGACGATCACGCGCCACAGCCAGAGAGCATTTGGAACTACCGAGGTCGGGCCCCCGAAAGAGCACCTGCGCAATACGTAACGTCAAGACCTCGAGGGGGCCTGACGACCCGAAGAGACTCCACTGCGTGGCTCGGGGCACGGCGGCGGATTGCGCATACAGGGGGAAGTAGAAAGCAGGGAGTACAGTCGGGGCGCTGAAAAAGGAACCCTTTTCGTTGGGGAGGGGCTCGGTGCTCTTTGATTGTTTCAAAGTTTGCCTCGGGTTTTCCTGTGGTTTTCCATAGGACATCGAGGTTGAACTTATGGGGGAAAGGGGCCTCGTTCCTTATTTAGGGTTCCTTAGGTCAACGCCCTGGCTGTAACGCTCAGAGTAGAGCAACGATCGCAAACAAGAGAGAAGGTATCGAAAGCTACTGAAGAGAGAAGATATCGAAGGCGCCCACGGCCATCCGCCGCCGCCTCCTGCCTTTTAGGATGCGCCTGTGTGGCCAAACAGTTGGGTAAAGCTTGGCCGCGCTATTGCACCGTGCGTTCCCCCAGCCGCTGTGGAAGCCCTTGGGAGAACACGTGGGAGAGGAAGAAGGGGATGAGGAGAGGGAGCAAAAAGTAGGACAAGGAGGAGGATAAGGAGATCTGGCCCCTGAGGGCCCCAAGAGAGCCCCAAGAGGGCCACAGGAGGTCCCCAAGGGGACCCAGGAGGGCCCCCAGAGGGCCCCAAGACGGTCCAAGCCCGCCAAGACGGCCCAAGAGGGTCCCGGGACAGCCCAGCAGGGCCCCGAGGCGGCCCAAAAGAGCCCCAACAGGACCCCCATGGAGGCCCAGAGATACAACATGCAGATTGAATTTCGCAAGATTGGTTGCTAGATTTTGTTCTGTCGTACCGAAGCCTTAACACCAACAGGGCTCCAGGACACTAAGCCAGCGACCTCGCGCCCTCACAAAATAAACGCGCTTTCCGTCGGCATGCCAAGCAGGTAACGAACAGAGCGAGGTACGAGTGATGACGTTCTGGTGTGGGGCGAAGCCCTCCAGGGAGGGGTTCCAGGGGAGGGGGGAGGGCCGGACGCAAGGTTGGTAATGGCCGTTTTCAGGTTGTCCTGTGAGTTTTTGCATGTTTTTCGGGTTCCACCCCCAAGACGGCCCAAGAGCGCTCCAAGAGAACTCAAGACCGCCCAAGACGGCCCCAGAGGCCCCCAAGAGGCCCCCAAGAGGCGCCCAAGGGGCGTCCCCAGAGGGCCCCAAGAGGCCCGAATCATTGATGTCCATTTGGAAAACGTGCACTTTTAGCATATACGGCATTTCGGCTTTCACGGCGTTGACGACGGCCCCAGAGGCCCCAAAGACCGCCCCAAGACGGCCCAAGAGGCTCCCAAGAGGCCCCCAAAACGGCCCAAGAGGGCGCCCAGACGGCCCAAGAGGCGCCCAAGACGGCCCAAGAGGGCCCCATGACGGCGCCAAGAGGGGGACCACGAACCGAAAAGTTTAGCCTTTCGCCCCAAGACGCTCCCAGGAGGCCCCAAGAGGCCCCCAAGAAGCCCCAAGAGGCCCCCAAGAGGCGTCCCAAGGGGCCACCAGGAGGCCAGCATCATTGATTTCCAATAGGAAAAGTTACGTTTTAAGCATGCACGGCTTTTCGGCTTTCACGGCGTTGGCGACGGCCCAAGAGGCCCCAAAAACCCCAAAGACAGCCCAAGAGGCTCCCAAGAGGCTCCCAAAACTGCCCAAGAGGGCGCCCAGACGGCCCAAGAGGCGCCCAAGACGGCCCAAGAGGGCCCCAAGAGGGCCCCAAGAGGGGGACCACGAACCGAAAAGTCTAGCCTTTCGCCCCAAGACGCTCCCGGGAGGCCCCAAGAGGCCCCAAGAAGCCCCAAGAGGCCCCCAAGAGGTTCCCCAGAGGCCTCCAGAAGGGCTCCTAAAGCGCCCCACTAGGACTCCCAAGAAGGCCCAGAGACGCCGAATAAGAAGCGATCGGTCACGCAAAAAGCTCTTCACACCAAGGCTCCCAAGAGCGAACGGTGACGTAAACAAGCTGATAAGACCAAGGCTCCCAGCAGAGAGCGGTGACGTAACAAGTTCCTGACACCAAGGCCCAGCCAAGGCTCAGGAACGGGCGGCAACGCAACAATCTCTGAACACCAAGGCTCCCAAGAGCGAGGGGTGACGTAACAAGCTCTCAACGCCAAGGCTCCCAGTACGAACGGTGGTGTGAGTAATTTCGGTTTCTGTTTCTGCAGCGCTCGTTCTGTTTCCGTGCCGGCCCAGGTAACGGCAAGAGCGAGATACGAGTGATGACGTTGTGTTTTGGGCGAAGCCCCTAAGGGGGATTGCAGAGGGGGGGGAAGGGGGAGGGAATGAGTGTTAATTGCCGTTTTAAGGTTTTCCTTTGTGTTTTTGTATGTTTTTCGGGTTCTCCCCTTGTCCGTCCCAGAAGGGCCCTAGACGGCCCAAGAGGCCCCAAAGATCGGCCCAAGAGGCTTCCGAGACGCCCCGAGAGGCCCCCAAGAGGCGCCCCCAGGCCCCAAGAGGCCACAATCATTGATTTCCCATAGGAAAACGTACATCTTTAGCATGTGCGGCTTTTCGGCTCTCACGGCGTTGACGACGGCCCAAGAGGCCCCCCAAGATCGCCCCAAGACGGCCCAAGAGGCTCCCAAGAGGCCCCCAAGACAGCCCAAGAGGGTCCCAAGACGGCCCAAGAGGCGCCCAAGACAGCCCAAGAGGGCCCAAGACGGCTCCAAGAGGGCCCCAAGAGGCCCCCAAGAGGCGCCCAAGGGGCGTCCGCAGAGGGCCCCAAGAGGCCCAAATCATTGATGTCCATTTGGAAAACGTGCACTTTTAGCATATACGGCATTTCGGCTTTCACGGCGTTGACGACGGCCCCAGAGGCCCCAAAGACCGCCCCAAGACGGCCCAAGAGGCTCCCAAGAGGCCCCCAAAACGGCCCAAGAGGGCCCCCAGACGGCCCAAGAGGCGCCCAAGACGGCCCAAGAGGGCCCCATGACGGCGCCAAGAGGGGGACCACGAACCGAAAAGTCTAGCCTTTCGCCCCAAGACGCTCCCAGGAGGTCCCAAGAGGCCCCCAAGAAGCCCCAAGAGGCCCCAAAGAGGCCTCCAAAAGGGCTCCAAAAGGGCCCCAAAAGGGCCCCAAGGCTCCAGGAGGTCCCAAGAAGGCCCAGAGACGCCAAATAAAGAGCGATCGGTCACGCAAAAAGCTCTTCACACCAAGGCTCCCAAGAGCGAACGGTGACGTAAACAAGTTGATAAGACCAAGGCTCCCAGCAGAGAGCGGTGACGTAACAAGTTCCTGACACCAAGGCCCAGCCAAGACTCAGGAACGGGCGGCAACGCAACAATCTCCGAACACCAAGGCTCCCAAGAGCGAGGGGTGACGTAACAAGCTCTCAACGCCAAGGCTCCCGGTACGAACGGTGGTGTGAGTAATTTCGGTTTCTGTTTCTGCAGCGCTCGTTCCGTTTCCGTGCCGGCACAGGTCTAGTCGCTTCTGGCCCATCCCGCCACGGTGCCTTGGCTGTGCGTCAGAGGCCCCTTGGATGCCTGTGGGGATCTCTTGGGGGCCTTTCGGAAACATGTCGGAGGCGGTTCTGGGGAGTATGTGGGGCCTCTCGGGGTCATCTTCGGGGCGACTTGGGGCCTGAGTTGGGCCTCTGTGGAGCTTATTGGAGCCTCTGGAGGGCTTATTCGAGGCCTACTCCCGGTCTCGGAGGTCGTTTTGGAGCAGAAAGCTCGACATGTAGGTTCGTGTTCCTCCCCTGGATCCTCTCCCGGGGCCGTCTTGGGCCGAGCCTATCTTGAGCCGCCTCGAGCCTACCTTCGGAAAAACAAAAGAAGAGGCGTCTTGGGGGCCTCCTTGGCCGTTTGGAGCCCATCTTGGGCGTCTCGGAGCCATCTTCGGGCGAGACGGCGCCTTCTGGGACGGTCTTGGGGGCCTCTCAAGGCCCTCTTGGCCGGTTTGGGGGACCTCCTGGCCCCGAACATTTCACGCGACAGCACACGCCAAGCCCTGGGGAAGCACGCGGCACGCCCCCCCAGGGGATTCGTAGATTTGGGCCGGGCTTTGAATACCCATTCACCCAGGACTGTTGACGGAGAGCTCCAGGGGCCTGATCACACTCCGACTCGTGCCTCGTGGCACGGGGACGCGCTCGAGAGAACAGAAAGCAGGTGGCACAGAGTAGAGAGCAGATAGTAGAGAGAGAGTCAGGAGTGGAGAGGCGAGCGTGAGGAGCAGAAGGTGCATGCCAGAAGAGTGCAAGGCAGGGAATTGGCGGGGGGAGGGTGAAGGTCTGAGGGGACACATGGGCCACCGCCGCCCAGATCCCATCACTGGGAGGAGGCTGGTCCCTGGGCGGTGGTACGCCTGAGCTCTATCGCGCTGGGCAGTATTCAACACATGCCGCCTCCGCTCGGGAAGCCTCTGGGCCACATCTCGCAAGCGAGCGGGCCCTCCGAGCACAACGAGCTCCTTGCGGCTGCAGGCCTGGCAGGAGCGGAACTCGGGGAAAATGCGGCCGGGAGCCCAGGCGAGAGAAACAGACGGGAGACTGTTACGCGCCGCCTGCTTGTCCAAATGCCTTTCTGGAAGTGGAAGCGCCGAAGCGACGGCGCAGCCCTTTGAAAACGTATTGCGGCTGCCGCCTAGGGAAATGCAACCAGCCACACATTCCTATCTATGTGCCAGCGCCAGGGCCAGCCACTCTCTGACTTAAGACCGGCCTGCCCCGCAGCAATGCCGCTGGCCAGTTATGTCTGTCGACCTGTGTGGATCCAAGCGCAAGGTGGCAGAGACTTTTCGAGGACGTCGGATTGCCCCAGACGAGCCCTTGTATTCGCCTTCAGGACAGAACCCTCAGAAGTGAGGGCACGTGTATCACGCCAGATTTGGGAAAGTGGCTTCTGCAAACTTGCAGGGCAGCCGCTTGAGTTAAACAGCGCGCAGCCGCCTTGGCTGAGAAGCAGATCGCCGCCCTCGCGCGAAGTGCCCCGACCGCCCGTCAGTGCACCTCTGACCATGACCGGCGCTGAAGTCCAACATGTCGCCGCTGGAGCCGCTGGAGGCTCCGCGGCCCCAGCGGCGCAGGGCAGTGCCTGCGACAGCTGCGCGTGCGGGGAGCTCGCCAAGCAGAAGGACATGGAGGACGCGGGCCCCCCGCAGTACGACGACTTCACCTTCCAGCCCCTCTTCGAGCAGGCGACGCCCGTGGACATCCCGTGGACGCGGCTGCCGGAGCTGGAGAGCGGAGTCAGGGTGACGCCGATGCAGGTGCCCGGCGGTGGCACGCGGGACCTCGTCAGCGTGGAGCCCTGGGTGCTCCAGCGGCTCTCTCTTGAGGAAGAAAGAGCACACGGCACGAGCATAAGATAAGCACAGGCCTTGCGGGGAGCGGGGCGCAGCGCCGATCCCGGGGATTTGCGCGGACCCTCGCGTGGGTATGCTTGTGCCGTGTTTGGTTCCTCCAGGCTCGCCGAGCGGGCCATTGGCGACGTCGAGCACTACTTGCGGCCCGGGCACCTCGAGCAGCTGGCCAAGATCATGTCTGACCCGGAGGCGTCCGACAACGACAGGTTTGCGGCCACGCGCAGGGGGGGTGGGGGGAGGGGGGGGGGCTTCTTAGAAGCACCCCTGCTTCTCAGAAGGCGCGGGCCTTCTCTAAAGATGCAAGACCAGCGCCTTCTAAGAAACAGCCTCCTTTTAAGAAGCCCTCCCCCCGCCCCCCACCCCCTTGTGCGCACCGCCAAGGTTTACGGCAAAAAACCTGCTGCAGAACGCCGTGATCGCCGCGAGGGGTGTCCTGCCTGGCTGCCAGGACACCGGCACCGCGATCATCCTGGGCAAGAAGGGCCAATTCGTCTGGACGGACGAGGAGGACGAGAAGCACCTGTCCCACGGCGTCTACGACGCCTACACCAAGCGGAATCTGCGCTACTCTCAGGTCTCGCCCGTCTCAATGTTTGCAGAGAAGAACACGAAGTGCAACTTGCCCGCCCAGCTCGACCTGTACGCCGTGAAAGGCTCAGGAGGGAAAAATATACACAGACACAAACAAACGTCGATGTGTATGAAAATGACGGAGGATATTGAACATGGAGGAGAATACGAAAATCCATTATTCTATAATCTAAATTAATTGGGCATCTTAGGAGTTGTGTATATTCATGTGTTCCCCGGGCGCCTTCAGAGGCAATGAGTACAAGTTCATGTTCATGGCAAAGGGTGGCGGCTCTGCCAACAAGACCTACCTCTACCAGCAGACGAAGGCGCTGCTGAACCCGAAGAAGTTGGAGGAGTTCATCGCGGAGAAGGCTCCGCGCCTCGCAGCACGGGGCAGGGCGAGGAGGGCGGGACCTTAGGAGCCCATCGCGTTCTCCTCCTCCTTTTCATCCTCCTCCTCCTCCTCTTCCTGCCGAGACGCCTACCCGCCTGATCGGAAGGCCGCCTCCCTTGTCCCCCCTCTCCTGCTCCGTATCCTCCTCCTCCTCCTCCTCCTCCTCCTCCTCCTCCTCCCTCCTCCTCCTCTCCTCCTCCTTCCCTCCTCTTCTTCCTCTTCTCCTCATGCTCCTCCTCCTCCTCCTCCTCCTCCTTCTCCTCCTCTTCTTCCTCATGCCCCTCCTCCTCCTCCTCCTCTTCCTCCTCCTCCTCCTCCGCCTCCTCCTCCCCATCCCCCCCCCCGCCCCGGGCCAGCGCCCGCTCAGCACCGCCCATCGGACGCTTTCCTCCCGAGGCCCACACTGGCCCTGGCTGGTCTCCCTGAGCCGGCCGCGCCCAGCCGTGGCCACGGGAGCGCCCAGGGCAGGCCAGCAGAAAAAAGATGCAGTTCAAGCAGTGGCGAAGCGTCCCGGGCGCGGCAAACTGGGGGGTAATGACTATGGGGGGGATATCATGGCGCGGACCGTGATATTTCCCCAGATTTCAAGGCGCCTCTTCTTACTTCATTACGTCGCTGGCCCCCCCGCTGGGCCGCGCACATGCCGCCGGTCATGATTTGCACCCCCCCCCTCTTGGACACCCCCCTCTTGGCCGCTCCCGGAAATCGGGGCTCAAGAGACGGGGGTCAATGCAAACGGGGGTCAGCAAGAGCGCACGATCTTTGCAGGATCCTGTAGAGGCCAGGATCGCATTGACCCGGGCTTGGGCGCAGAATCCTGCAGGATCTTGCAGGATCTTTCGCGTTGACCCGGGCTCGGGTGCAGGATCTTGCAGGATCTTCTTGCAAGGCCTGACTGACCCGGGTCTGGATTGACCCGGGTCAGCAGATCCCCAACCAAAGAATGTTCTAAGAACCGTGTTTGGTTTGCACGAAGTGTTCTTAGAACTTGTTTGACCGGGACTGTCTTAATTATTTTAACGCAGCGGGCTCATGTTCTAAGAACATCGTTGTTGTTGTTCGAACATGCAGGCCTATAGGAATGCTGGGACGGTCGGTCCCTGCTCAATCCAGGGTAGGCCAACAAAACAAGTACAGCACCCTTCGGTCGGAAGAAGTAGGTAGAAAGATGAAGTAAGAAGGCTTTGAATGTAGATTGGGTTCCGTCCGCCCCTTCTGGAAGGTCGGAAAAGGCGAGTCCACTCGATCACTCAAGTAGGAAAGCGCTTGAAGAAGATTGGAATATGGGAGTTCAAGAATACCTATTCCACGACCGATGGGTATGGCGCACGACGTCAGCAGCGACGTCGACGACGCCGCTGTCCTCTCCCTTTCGCGCGGGCCCTCGAACCTGAGAGCGCGTTCTGAGCAGAGATCCGTCGCGAACCCAGCCATGGCCACGAGGTCGACAACGAAGTCGTCGTCGTCGTCGTCGTCGTCGTCGTCGTCGTCGTCGTCGTCGTCGTCGTCGTCGTCGTCGTCATCGTCGTCGTCGTCGTCGTCGTTGTCGTCGTCGTTATCGACGTCGCCCCTCTTGGCGCGCCGTCGAGAGCGGGAGGACGGAGGAGGAGGTAAAGGAGGAGGAGGAGGAGGAGGAGGAGGAGGAGGAGGAGCAGGATGGAGGATGACGCCAGTTGGCGCGCCGCTTTGGAGGAGGAGGAGGAGGAGGAGGAGGAGGAGGAGGAGGATGTATGAGGTATGAGGAAGAGGAGGAGGAGGAGCAGGGACGAGGGCGTGGGGAGGAGGTGGAGGGGGGAGAAGGGGAGGGAAGAGGAGGATGGCGGATGGAGGATGGAAGGGAATGGAGGAGCATGCTGGAGCATGTCCCCCCCCCCCCCCTGGCGCGCCGCCGAGAGGTCGTCACCCTCGGCACCTCCGCCTGCCCGCCGTACCACCTCGCCATCGTCATCGGCGGCCTGTCGGCGGAGCTGTGCCTGAAGACCGTGAAGCTCGCGTCCGCGCGCTACCTCGACGACCTGCCCACCACCGGCAACGACCACGGGCGCGCGTACCGCGACACGAAGTGGGAGGAGCCTTGGGCGGCCCCTAATCAGGAGGGGAAGAAACACACAGACACAATTATTCGTCGATTCCCAGAAAATATGCGAAAATATGGGAAGTGGGGGGAAGACAGAAACCCAGAAACTATAGGAAAATATTGGGAATCTGTTTAGTTGTGTGTATTTATTTGTGTGTCCCCGGGCCCCTTCACCTAAATCATCCTGGCGACGGACCCGACAACATGCAGTTGTGGGTAACGCGTTGTGGGTGCCGCTTTCGGTGGAGCTCCCTGTGGGCCACGAAGCGCGCGAGCGACGTGCCGTAATAGGTGGGGGAGACGCATTCGTGCGGTGCCACTGGGGCCTTCGGTGGGGCTCCCTGTGGTCCACGAAACGTTGTACTGGGTGTGGCGGACGCATGAGCTTCCGATGGGGCCACGAAGCGTTGTACTGGTTGGGGGAGGTGTATGCGGGCGGTGCCACTGGGGTCTTTCTGTGGAGCTCCCTACGGGGCCACGAAACGATGTACTGCGTGGTGGCCGACGCATGCGGGCGGTGCCACGGGGACCATGGGTGAAGCTCCCTATGGGTCCACGAAGCTCTGTATTGGGAGGGGGGGGGGGCGCATGCGGGCGGTGCCACTGGGTCCTTCGGTGGAGCTCCTTGTGGGGCCACGAAACGCTGTGGTGGGTGGTGGCTGACGCGTGCGGGCAGTGCCACTGGGGCCTTCGGTGGAGCTCCATATGGGGCCACGAAGCGCTGTGTTGGGTGGTGGCTGACGCATGCGAGCGGTCCCACTGGGACCTTCGGTGGAGCTCCCTGTGGAGCCACAAAACGCTGTGCTGGGTGGTGGCTGACGCATGCGTGCGGTGCCACTGGGGCCTTCGGTGGAGCTCCTCCCTGTGGGGCCACGAAACGCTGTGCTGGGTGGTGGCTGACGCGTGCGGGCGGTCACACTGGGACCGTCGGTGGAGCTCCTTGTGGAGCCACGAAACGCTGTGCAGGGTGGTGGCTGACGCATGCGGGCGGTGCCACTGGGGCCTTCGGTGGAGCTCCTTGTGGGGCCACCTGGAAACGTTTTTTCGAATGTGTCTTGATCCTAAATGGCTAGATCGACCAGAACAAAGAGCAGGTATTGGAGCAGATGGCATGCCAGAGTGGGCCGTCCCTTTATTTGAAGAGGCTCTTTACCTGCTCATGAGCACCATACGCAGAGAAGGCAGAACACCGATAGTTTGGCATCAAGCGAGTATGTTTAGACTTCCAAAAAACAGCGGTGAAAGAGGAACTGGAGGTGAACGACCGATAATGCTGCTGTGCGAATTGGGACGATCGTATTCTAAGAGCATATTGATTCGCAAATCGAAGTTTCCCAATTGGATGCATGGAGGCATTGCTTTCAGACGACGAGAAGATGCGATGTTAGCACAATTTTGCTGCTTTTATAGATTGAGACGTGCTCGCATTCCTCATGTAACGAGATAGCATGACGCCACCAACGCGTTCCATAGCGTGAAGAAGCATCACCTCGTCGCCGCTGGCAGAGAGATAACACAAGGAAGGAATGGAACACTTTATCGAACAGAGGATCATGAACAGCACCTTCATAGTAAATGATGGACTCTACAGCGCGCACATGCACAACGATGAAGGAGCATTGCCAGGGGACCATGCATCTAGGAAGGTCTTTGTTCATGCGTATGGACATGGAGTACAGCTAGCAGCTTCGAGCATGGCTAGAAATGAGTGGCAGCAACAGCTGCAGGTGACCTCGATGCCGATTGGGCTCGAGGGGGAGAACATCGACCTTGCCACGTTCGGATTCGTCGATGACATCGGCAGGGAAGTTATCTGTGTCAACTCACATCATCTTCGGAAGCTTTGTGCATGGGAGAGTATCATCATCGATGCTGGACTTGAGGAAATAGGGGGGGAAGGAGGGCTCAGAATAGGGAGAAGCAATACAACATCGTCCAAGGAGCAAAAAGACACGCTCAGAAGTTGAATCGAGTTTTTCATGAGCAGCCAGGGCTTCTAGAAGGCAACACAAAAGCATCTGCAAGGTATCTTGGAGGCCTTCATCACTACAACAATGGGTTCACGGCAGAGAAGTCAGCAATATTAACAGCTATAGACAAACATGGAAACATATGGGGCACTTTTGGACCTCGCCGACGCCTCTCAGGTTTCGGCCATCGTTTTCGTCGGTCAGGTTGTCAATGCGGCCCTCAGCGGGCTAGAGGCGTACGTGATGAATATGAAAAATCCGCTCAGCAAAAGATGCCTGGAACCGCTTCAGTCTAAAGTAATCAAATACGCTCGAGTACTTCTGAAAGGTAGGTTCACTGAGCGCGCGCAAGGTAGGGTAGTACAAACCATCTCTAACGCAGAGGTTCTTAGGCAGCTTAAAGTAGGCAGTCTGTTTTGTGAATTCAGAACTCGCAGGATTAAGTGGCTCCAATCCATGGTCAGGCACCCCCAGGAGCATGCTCAGGTCCTTGGGGCCCTTCTAGGCCAAGTCAAATGTGAGAGTGAGCCAAAGGACTGCGTTGGGGGCGGTGTCCAGGCGAACGCCAATCCGTGGCTTAGGCAGCTCTGGGAGGACGTCCAGGCCTTGGAGAGCACAGATGAGGGAACCACTCTCCTCGAAGACCTCGAGGGGTCATTCTGCAAACTTTTTGAGGAGCCCCACAAAGAGGTTCGTTTAAGCCTAGATCCGTCCGTGCTCAGAGCTAAGGAGCTCACCGTAGAGGTGCCTCCCCCTCCTCGGCTTGGTGGGTCGGGTGTGGCTGGTGGGAGTCGGGCTTCGGGTGCTTGTGGAAATCCAGAAGGCGAAGGCACCTTGCCCTGTCCTGCGCGTGGGCATTTTGTTTCGGAAACGCGGAGGTTTTAGACGCACGCCTGATATCGGATCACCTTGAGCAGATCATTCACCCAGATCACTACCTCACGATTGATGCCGGCGTGGCTTCCAGAAGGACAGGTGACTGGGGCGGCGGCGGCGGCATCAGGCGGGGGAGGCGAGGCATCGGCGGCTTCGGCGGCGGCGGGGGCGGCGAACCTGGGGCAGCAGGGCAGCTCGAAGAAGTCCAAGATGGGCAACCCCAAGGACGCGGAGAGGAAGCTGCAGCTCCAACTGGGGGCGAGGCAGAGAGAGCAGGAGGCCAAGGACTCGCACTTTCGGTGCCCCACGGGCCATCCTATCGTAGTTGGCATGAAGCAGGCGGGGGAGAAGTACGACCAAAGCGCGAAGTCTGCAGGGTCGGGCCACTCCTACGGCTCGCCGCGCCTCCACGCGTTCAGAGCGCTGCTAGAACAGCTGGCAACAATCAACGTGGACGGGAAGCCCAACGACGCGCTGATGGCCATCCTCGGCGCGCAGGGGCTACTAGCAAGCGTGCACGCGGACAAACCAGACGGGCCCGAAGAGTGGCTTCGCACGTGCAGGTGCAGCGACTACTCCACGAAGGGCAACGCAGCACCACAATCGAGGATTATGTACAGCGTGAGCGGCCATTGGCCCATGGCGACCACCAAGGAGCAGAACGACGAGCTAGCCAACCAGAAGCACCACCACCCGCTCGTGATCGACACCAGCACCAGCCTGACCTACGTGAGCCTGGACAGCCTCCTCACCCTCGCGCTGAGGATCGCAGGGGCCGTGCGTCTTCCAGGGAGGGCGCCCATAGGCGGGCTGGCGTACCAGCTCAGGAAGCAGTAGAGAGTAGTGCAACACGCTCAGCGCCTCCGCCTCTGACACCCCAGCTTATATGACCAGATTAGAAGCTCTTCGTCACAGGGTTTTAATGCGAGAATTGGCGCGGCGAGCAGAGCAATCGTAAAACTGCCCCTGCGCCTTGGTTTCCCCGCCAGCCCACAGTCGGGCTAGGCGCGAGGGGAGCCTGGCCTCGTGCTCCGCTCCAGAGTATAAGCCCTTGCACACAAGTTTCAGGACATGGTGTGTCAGGCTCTGCGGTCCCATTGCACCTTTAAGGAGATTCAGTGGGGGATTGAAGCAGTATGAATGAATGAATGAACGAATGAAATAGATATAGATATAGATATAGAGATATATATAGATATAGATATAGATATATATTCAACACATTTCTGTACATACATATATATGAGTATGCATATACGTACATGCGTATAGAGACTATGTATTTGGATACGCATATACTAAATATATACACACATGCCATGTAGCTACATATTCACGTGCAAACATACACAAATGGCACGTGCGTGCCCTGGCTCATACAGAAAGACGTGCAGCACGCAGGAATCGCAGAAGGTGGGCGTGAGGAGGAATATGATGAAGGAGGAGGAAGGACATGGAGTAGCAGAGGGAACCGCAAAGAAGGAGGATCATGCGCATCACCAAGGGGCTGTTGTGAAGGAGAAGCGATAGCGGGATCGCAGTCGAACGCAGGTGGGGTTGCCACACATTTCGATGTGTGTGGCGGCGAAGGGGGGGCCACGCCTTGATATTGCAGTTGAACAGAAGCTCCAAAGCCAATTGTTGGAGGATGTCTCTAGCGAAATTGTCCGCTTGAAGAATCTGTAGACAACGTTGATTACGTCGGGTTCCAATGTTGCGGTGGCGTCTGACGCGAAATTGTTTGTTTTATAAGAAAAGCGTCCAACATCCCTGATATCCATAATGCGGTTGAACGTGTAACCTACGTTTACCAAATCACATGTGTGCTGTAGGATCGTAGCGTCGCGATCTGTTGTGCAGCGTAGCGTCGAGAGCGTAGCGTCGCGATCTGTTGTAGGATCGTAGCGTAGCGTAGGGTTTTCTAAATTGTGAGGATGTTCCGAGCGAGCCCGCCAGAAAAAGGGGGAACGGCATCAAAAAAGAGAGAGGTGCGTGTGATAATGTACTCGTGTGTGTGTGTGTTTGTGTTTGTGTGTGTTTGTGCTTGTTTCTGTGTTTGTGTGTTGTGTGTTGTGTGTGTGTTTGTGTGTTGTTTGTGTGTTTGTGTGCTGTTTGTGTGTTGTGTATTGTGTGTTGTGTATTGTGTGTTGTGTGTTGTGTGTTGTGTGTTGTGTGTTGTATGTGTGTTGTGTGTTGTGTGTGGTGTGTGGTGTGCGGTGTGGTGTGGTGTGTGCTGTGTGTTGTGTGTTGTGGGTTGTGCGTTGTGTGTTGTGTGTTGAATGTTGAGTGGTGAGTGTTGTGTGTTCTGTGGTCTGTGGTCTGTGGTGTGTGTTGTGTGCTGTGTGCTGTGGGTTGTGTGCTGTGTGTTGTGGGTTGTGTGTTGCGTGTGTGTTGTGTGTTGTGTGTGTTTGTGTGTTGTGTGTGTTGTTTGTGTGTTGTGTGTTGTGTGTGGTGTGTTGTGTGGTGTGTGATGTGTGTTGTATGTGTGTTGTGTGTTGTGTGTTGTGTTGTGTGTTGACTGTTGTGGGTTGTGGGTTGTGGGTTGTGGGTTGTGGGTTGTGTGTTGTAGGTTGTGTGTTGAGTGTTGTGTGCTGTGTGCTGTGTGGTGTGTGGTGTTTCGGTGTGTGCTGTGTGTTGTTTGTTGTCTGTTGTGTGTGGTGTGTGTTGTATGTTGTGTGTTGAGTGTTGAGTGTTGTGTGTTCTGTGGTGTGTGGTGTGTAAGTGTAAGTGTAAGTGTAAGTGTAAGTGTAAGTGTAAGTGTAAGTGTAAGTGTAAGTGTAAGTGTAAGTGTAAGTGTAAGTGTGGGGGGGGAGGGGTGTGTGTGTGTGCGTGCGTGCGTGCGTGCGTGTGTATGTGTGTGTATGTGTGTATGTGTGTGTGTGTGTTTGTGTGTGTGTGTGTGTGTGTGTGTGTGTGTGTGTGTGTGTGTGTGTGTGTGTGTGTGGGGGGGGGGGGGGGCACCTGGTGCCAAAATATTATGCCCATGTTCACCTTCCCACACAAGCTAGATCCATGCCGCCCAACTTGGGCGCAGCGGAAAGAGCCTCGCCCAGAGCGCGTCCCTGCACTCGGCAAAAGACAGGCAGCGTCCGCCAGCTTGAGGTCGGCAGCAGGTCGGCGATGGTAAAAGCTCGAGTAGGGGATCGACCACAGAAATGATTCACCTCACATTTGACTTTCTCGTCGAATCTACGAGACAGTAACGCAGAATGTTTGCAGATCGACTGAGCATTCCCCACATCTTTCGTATAGTCAACGAACACACCGTTTTGGGGGTACATAACCTTTGCAGTCAACCTCTTCTCCGAAAAGCGAGACGTCATTCTTTCTTTGCCGGCAAAGGGCTTCGGAGTCGGCCAGGCCCGCCCGGGATCCTCCAACCCGACGCCGCCGAGGCATCGCTGATGCAGTGGCGGTGCGGCGGCGCGAGCCGAGGAAGCGCAGGCGGCAGAGCTCTCGGAGGGCCGCGCGGACTTCCTGGGCAGGCGATGGACCTCCCCCCCCCACGGGCGGCGCCTCCGCCGCCGCCACTTGGTGCGCTCCTCGGCACCAGGCGGGGGGCTGGTGTCGAGCGCTGGCCTGAGAAACCTCGCGGACCTGCGACAGTTTGTGTGTTTGTGTGGTTGTGTGTGTGTGTGTTTGTGTGTGTGGTTGTTTGTGTGTGTTTGTGTTTGTGTTTGTGTTTGTGTCTGTGTCTGTGTCTGTGTCTGCGTTTGTGTTTGTGTTTGTGTTTGTGTTTGTGTTTGTGTTTGTGTTTGTGTTTGTGTTTGTGTTTGTGTTTGTGTTTGTGTGTGTTTGTGTTTGTGTTTGTGTGTGTTTGTGTTTATGTTTGTGTTTGTGTTTGTGTTTGTGCTTGTGTTTGTGTTTGTGTGTTTGTGTGCGTGTGTGTGTGTGTGTCCTCCGCCCCCTCTGTCCTCACCCGGCTCTTGCACGCTGGCCAGTTCGCTTCTCGGCGCCCCCGTTTGGCTCGATCGCTGGTGCAGCCAACTCTGCCTCGCCGCCGGCGAAACAGTGTGTGTGTGTGCCGGTTGGTGCTCCTTCATGAAGGAGAAAGTCCTCGCGATGTGCCACGGCCTCGGCATCGGGGCGCAATTCGGTGGCAAGTATTTCGTCCATGACGTCAGGGTGATCCGCATGCCGCGCCACGGCGCCTCCTGCCCGGTGGGCATCGGCGTCTCCTGCAGCGCGGACAGGCAGGTGCTGGCCAAGATCACCGACCACGGAGTCTTCATCGAGGAGCTGGAGAAGAACCCGGCACGCTTCCTGACCGGCGAGCCCTCGGCGGGGCTCTCCACCTCGGCGGAGTCGGTGAGCATCGACCTGAACCAGCCCATGAGAGACATCTGCGGCATCCTCACGCAGTTCCCGATCAAGACCCGGCTGTCGCTGACGGGCCCCATCATCGTCGCGCGCGACATCGCGCACGCGAAGCTGGCCGAGCGCCTCGAGGCGGAGGGGGCCCTGCCCGACTACATGGCGGCCCACGTGATCTACTACGCGGGCCCCGCCAAGACGCCGGAGGGGTACGCGAGCGGCAGCTTCGGCCCCACCACCGCGGGCCGCATGGACACGTACGTGCCACTCTTCCAAGAGCGGGGTTACTCCCTGATCACCCTGGCCAAGGGCAACCGCGCCAAGGTCGGGCTGGACGAGAGGGGGGGTTACAGCTGGCACGAGGGAGGAGAAGCCCAGCCTTGGAGATGTACCCTTTCGGTTCTTCGTTTCTGTTGGGGGCTCTCCACCTCTTTCTCTTCGTCTTGGGCAATGTTCTTCTGCGAAGGGGCCCCTCTTTTTGATCCTTGTGGCCGTGCTTCGACTGCAGGGGACGGTGGGGGACGGGGTCGAAGACTGCGGCGTGCAGCTGGTTCCAGCCCCGCCGCCGAGCGTTTTCCTCAGTAGTACATGGGGACCTCTGGCGCCAGGAGGCGGTGGGAAAATCTGCCTACCATGAGCCGATGCGCCAACCCTCCGTAACTGCCCCCTGCTTCGTCCGACGCGACGAGGGCGTCACGGACTCCTGCAAGAAGAACGGCGGTTTCTACTTGGGCAGCGTTGGCGGTGCGGCGGCCAACCTCGCGGAGAACGCGATCAAGAAGGTGGAGGTGGTCGAGTACGAGGAGCTCGGCATGGAGGCGGTGTGGCGCATCGAGGTCGAGGACTTCCCCGCCTTCATCATCGTGGACGACAAGGGCAACGACTTCTTCGCCGAGTGGAAGATGTGATCGCAGCTGGGCGCGTGCCCGCAGTGACGGCATGCGCCAAGCGAGCGCATGCAGCAAGTCTAGCGCAGCATTCAGCAGGGGATTCAGTCCTCTGGGCCACACGCCCTCATGGGTTCTGGCTAACATTTACACACATTGGAATTATTTAAATTTAAAGCTTGCCATTCGTGAGGGGAGTCATTTGTCGTATTCCCACCCATGGCGCGCGTTTCTCCATCCAAGCCCAGTCACGACGGTTCGAGACGAGTCCGACACCTAGATACCCACATAGGAACATTGGGCTGCAATGCTTTTCCTCTTCCGCGCGAACGTGCGCCAATTGCGCTATCGTCTTCGCAGTTGCCGCGTGCTGCAGCCCCGCAGCGGTGCTATCCACGCTGGTGACGCACCAACGAGAGAGAGACAGATAGATAAAGGACAATAAACAAGGAAATGTAGAGAGAGAGAGAGAGAGAGAGGCAGACAGACAGACAGACAGGCAGACAGACAGAGATAGACAGAGACAGACAAACAGACAGACAGACAGACAGAGACAGACAGACAGACAGAGACAGACAGACAGACAGGCGTGTATATGTCAAGGGTGTCTGCCACATTCGACAACTGCAACTCTTAAACCATGCAATGCTTGGCCACATCACATCTCTCAGCATCAAATGCGGCTCGCGCCAGGCTGAGGGCAGACAAGCATGCACCTGGATCGCCAGAGTAGTTGCACTGGTAGTAGCAGTCGCAGCCGCAGCAGCAGTAGCAGCAGTAGCAGTAGTAGACAACAGCAGCAGTAGTAGTAGACAGCAGTTGAAGCCGCAGTCGACGTTGCAGTTGTAGTCGTAGTAGTTCTCGTCGTCCTTGTCGTAATGGTAGGCGTCGTGCGTCCTGGTGCTGGTGGTGAACAATGGACCTAACAGCAGTCAGTCCTGATATTGCGACAACGAAAATCGTAATACGTACGTTGTCTGTGCCCTCCTTGCGTAGAAGACCATCCTGGGCCGCGTTCGGGCCACCTGAAACGCGGAATGTTTGAGACCACATTCGGAAGTTTGGGGGGCATCCATGAGCGTCAGGGGGACACCTTGGGACCACTTGGCGCCATTGTCGGGGCCGCGTTTGGCTTGCTGGCGCCGTCCTAAGTCTGTCCCCCCTCTTGGTGGGTCAGTTTGGCCCTCTCAGGCACTCCGTGGGCCCTTGAGGCCCCTTTTCGGAGCCTCCTCGGGCCGTCGTGGAGGCCTCCTGGCTCGCGCATGCGCGAGAGTCATGAGGCGACGTGCTGAGCGGACAGGGGGCTGAGTCTACCACCTTCTGGACTGACGCCCTGCTGGCACTGGAAGGCAGGACACCTAAGACTCCTCCTCCTCCTCCTGCTCCCTCTCCTCCTTCTCCCTCCTCCCTCCTCCTCCCTCCTCCTCCCTCCTCGAAGACGCCTGCGGCGAACCACTGCCACCCCCTGCCTGCTGGAAGCGCCGATGTGGCCCCACGGTTATGCCGAAGTCTTTTGCCATGCTGCTTGGCCACGTGTTCCCCCGGCCCTTGCGGAAAACCTGGGGGAAGCATGTGTGGGCGGAAGACAGGGGAGGAGGAGGAGGAGGAGGAACAGGATGCTGGTTGGGGTCCTCTTGGGGGCCTCTTGGGGGCCTCTTGGGGGGCCTTGGGGGCTTCCGAGGGGCGGCCGGAAGCCCGAAGCGGCGAGAGTTCGGAAATGGTTGCGAAATCGATGGGGCCCAAGAGGCCACGATGAGCACTGACTCAGTGCTCGTCATGGCCTCTTGGGCCCTCTTGGGGGCCTCTTGGTCCGTCTCGGGGCGGTATTGGGTTCCTCGTGGGCCGTCCTGGAGAGTCGGAGGCCCGACATGGCGAGAACGCTAACAAATTTCAAGCACGTTCGGGGGATCGCATGTTTGTTCCGCTTGGAGGCCTCTTGCAGCCCTCTTCGGGCGTCGTGGGGGTTGGGCCCTCTTCGGCCGTCACGAGGCCGTCTTGAACATTCTTCGGGTCGCTTCGGGGTCTTTTTGGCCCGTTTCGGGGCCCCATTGGCGTCGGGAGAAGCTTGCGAGAAGCCCCAAGAGGCACCCGACAAAATCCAGGAGCGCCCAGTACTCGGGGCTGCGGGCCAACCCTCATCTCCTCCCTCCCCCATCGCTCCCCCCCCGTCCGGCCCCCCTTTCCCATTGCCCACTCCCCTCTATCCCCCTCCCTCCCTCCCTCGCTCCCTTCCCCTCTCCCCATCCCCCCTTCCCCGCGCCCCCCTCCCCCCCCTCCCACCCTCCCCCACCTCCTCCATCCTCCTCCATCCTCCTCCCCCCGCCCCCTCCCCGTGTTCCCTCCCTCCCCCTCCCCTCCTGGACACGGGCCCCGCCCTCGCCGCCCCCCCCTCCCCCCTTTCTCCGCCCAGAGAGGTGCCCACGCTCTCGCCCTCGCCGCTGGCGCAGCACACCACAGGACCCCCCTCCCCCCTGGGCCGTCGCCGTCGCCGTCGTCGTCGTCGTCGTCGTCGTCGTCACCGTCGCCGTCGTCGCCGTCGTCGTCGCCGTCGTCGTCGTCGCCGTCGTCGTCGCAGTCGTCGTCGCCGTCGTCGTCGCCGTCGTCGTCGTCGTCGCCGTCGTCGCCGTCGTCGCCGTCGTCGTCGGCGTCGGCGTCGTCGTCGGCGGCGGCGTCGTCGTCATCCCCTGACCCTCCTCACGTTCCCAGATCTCCGACGTTATACGTATGTGTTTGTGCTCCAGCCCTCCTGTGTTGGACTCGCTTTGAATGGAGCACTGTAGTCCCCACAGCATCTCCTCCCGCCTCATATGTCCTACCTCCTCCTGCGCTGCTCCTTGGGCGGCTGCGAACTGCACAATGTTCGCCACGTTCGTGGGCTCCTGGGAGGTCTAGCGGAAACCGGGACCATGCGGACCCAGACTGGACCTCGCTGCTCCCTGGGTGTCTGCAATCTGCGCAATTTCACAATTTTCGTGGGCTCCTGGGAGGTCCAGCGGAGTCGGGGGCCACGCGGACCCAGACGGGGACCTCGCTGCTCCCTGGGTGGCTGCGAACTTTGCATTTGTCACAACTTTCGTGGGCTCCTGGGAGGTCCAGCGGAAACTGGGGCCATGCGGACCCAGACAGGACCTCGCTGCTCGCTGGGTGGCTGCGAACTTCGCATTTGTCGCCACTTTCGTGGGCTCCTGGGAGGTCCAGCGGAGTCAGGGGCCACGCGAACCCAGACGGGGACCTCGCTGCTCCCTTGGTGTTTGGTAATTTCGCGATGGTCGCCTATTTCGTTGGCTCCCGGGAGATCCAGCGGAGTCACGGGCCACGCGGACCCAGACAGGACCTCGCTGGTCCCTACGTGGTGGCGAAGTGAGCCCCTGCGGAGGCGGGGGCCACGCGGACCAAGACGGGACATCGCTGCTCCTTGCGTGGCAGCGAACTGCTGGGCTTCTGGGAGGTCCAGCGGAGTCGAGGGGCACGCGCACCCAGTTGAGACCTCGCGGCTCCCAGCGAGGCTGCGAATTATATCATTGTTTTCAGACGATATGTTACGTCTCTTGGTGCGGGGTCGGGGGCCGTCTGTATTCTAGCCTTTTTGTGCGATACCGAATGCTGTCGTTCGAGCTCGTCGCTCGCGTCCTTGTCAGTGCTCATAGCTTTTTCGGTCCCGACCCCCCCTGCCCTTTCAACAGGGTTATCACGATAACTTGCGTCTTTGGCGTGCCCCGTGACGGGGGTTGCGGCCCAGCCCGGGCATCGGCCCGTGCTGGTGCACGCCTGTCTCTCGAGATGAAATCGTGATCACAAGACATGCGCGCGAGGCCGCCCACTGGTGTTGGCGAAACGTTGGTCGCTCTCTCTCTCTCTCTCTCTCTCTCTCAGGACTCCTGTCGGAGACCTCCGCCCGACCCACTCTTGCGGCCTGGCCCCTCCCCGTAGTTGTGCAAAGATAAACGCAACATTGTCGGCGTCTTCGTGCGCAAGATGGTGGCCTCTCTCTCAAGAGCACCCCTTGTATCACCACCTACCAAACCACCCCAACCCAACCCGAAGGCCTCAATTTGCCCTCCATTTCCAGTGGGGGGGGGGGTCGGGGAACATCGAAAAAACACACATGGAGCCCATACCCCCCCCAACCCGAAATTCGGGTCTTCGGGTTGGGTTGGGGTGGTCTGGTAGGTAGCCATTGTACGAGCCGCCCTGCGCGGAGCACGGGGTCAGGTACGACCTGGGCATTTTTGTTCGACCCAGGCGTGTTTCCTCGATGTCAGCCTCTGGGGCCGGCAGCAGGAGGAGGAGGAGGAGGAGGAGGAGAAGGAGGGGCAGGAGGAGGAGAGGGAGGAGGACAGTGAGGAGGAGGAGGATAGGGAGGAGGAGGAGGAGGACCAGCGTAAAACCAAGAGTCACCAAAGATGTTGAAATAAACCCTCCCTCCAAAATCCCTCGTCGTAGGCCTGTATAGCGGTTCATTTCCACTGAGGGAACTACATCGTTGGAAGACAACCCTCTGGGGACCCCGAAGCATGCGTAAACATTGTTCTCGGGATTCCAACGCCGTGGATCAACCTGACGTCAGAAAGTCATTCCTGGGACTTCGACTCCGCGAATCAACGTAACTGTTGCGCCCGCATAATCCTGAATCCTTCCAACACAAGTTCTGGCAAGTTCACCATTGGAACCCGTGAAAATCGTTCACCGTTTATAAACGAGTGTGCGTGGTGCTAAAGCGAGAGCCACATGTTGAAGAGGAGCCGCCCTCAATCCGTAAAGTTGTTGCGCATGTTTGAAAAGGAATGTGCTCGGTGCTAAGGCGAGAGCGGCATTTTGAAAACGACTCGCCCTCAACCCGTGCAGTTCTCGCAACTTTATAAAACGAAGGTGCGCGGCGCTAAGGCGAGAACCACATTTTGAGAAGGAGCCGCCTTCAACCCGTGAAGCTCTTGCAATGTTTTGAACAACGAAGGTGCGCGGCGCTAAGGCGAGAACCGCATGTTGAAAAGGAACCGCCCTCAGTCCGTGAAGGTATTGTACATGTTTACGAAGAATGCGCGTGGCGCTAAAGCGATAACCACATTTTGAAAACCACTCGCCCTCAATCCGTGAAGCTCTTGCACATGTTCAAAACGAATGTGCGCAGCGCTAAAGCGAGAACCGCATTTTGACAACGACTCGCCCTCAACCCGTGAAGCTCTAGCAACTTACTGAAAACGAATGTGCGCGGCGCGAAGGCGAGAGCTACATATTGAAAACGACCAGCCCTCCATCTGCGAAGCTGTTGCCAATGCTTCAGCTTCAGGCTCATAAGTGGTGAGGAAGTCTCAGGCGAAACGCCCGGCCCGCCCTAAAAACTTGCCTCGGGGTGCGACAGGGAGAAGTTAGTTATGAGGAGAAATCAATGGAGGAGGAGGGCGAGAGGAGGAGGAGGAGGAGGAGGGAGAGGAGGAGGGAGTGGAGGAGGAGGA